GTAATTAAATCCAAGTTTGGGAATCTTGTTTGAGAAGAATTAGCGACACAAACTCTGACAAGAAAAGTGAATAGATATGGATAGTGCGCGTGAAAATACAAGAAATCAATAAGATAGTAGATATCTTATTGATTGACTTATATTTTAATATTTACAAACTATTCAAATTATCATCTAATAAGTGTAATACATGCACAACTCTTATTTTAATACGTACATATTGTGTAATGTTTCTTTTTATATTAATGCGCAAGCATATTGCTTAAAATTATAATACTAAGTACAAAATACTCGGCTGACCAAAGATAACATTGACAGTAACCTAACTGCGACAACCAAAAAACTATCGCATTTGTATTCACAGTTGTGACATACAGTCAGTTTCTATAGTTATAGTTATGTGTGCAAAGAGGTTGACGCTTATACAACATAAGTGTATATGACAATCCCAATAAACTAAATACGAGTTTTGTTTTAGAGTATTTTTGAGGAACCAATTGTGTGTTAAAAGTGTATCGATAGTGTACTCAATATGATCATAATATACGACCTAATAATCCTTCGTATTTGTTAGGTTCTATCTCTACAACGACTCTTATTTTTAATTTATATGGTTTGGATATTTAATTTGGTATATCTATAAAAATAGTAAAGCAATAATGTTACACTATTTCACGTTCTTTCATTAACACGGCAAATTATAATATTTAGACACAGACTTTAATTTCAAATCATAGCTATTTTATATAACGAACAAAGAACATAATCATCATAACCTCTTCAACTGTATCACAGCGAAATATTATTGATAAAAACGGATTCACATAGTATTGTGAACCTTATTATGTCTTGACTTAGGTTGTTTTATAATATAAACGTGGACTGGTAGACCTAGGTGCGTGTGAGCATTGTATCAAGGTGAGCAACAAGAAGCTTGCGGTACCTGTACAACGGTGCACGCGTATAATACAGTGTTTTCAATATTACATATAGCATTGGATATGGTGTATCTTGAGCATTTTTTGAAACGAAAATAAAATATGCATAAATTGAAAATCAATTTTAAAAGTCAATATTGCACTCATTAGTTAAGTAGTCAAAAACTTTATTAAATTATTAAAAATAACTAAATTATAATAAATACGAGTATACAAAGAATATCAAGGTTATTCTTAAGATCAGAGCGATGGCAATATCTTGAAACCTTCTGTGTGTGTGATGTGAGCTCTATTAGCCTATAAAAATCTAAATAAAATATTATATTGAAAAAATGGCAAAAGACGTGGTTATATTTTAGACTTTATTGTTATTTCCAACAATAGATTTCGTGTATTTAATATTAAAACTTTAATAGACGCGTTTTGACACATAATGGCAATTTTTTTATATTTTCCCATTACAATACTAACGTTGAACGACATGTCACCTTGAATATATTTATCATAAAACATATATTGTAGTGCATTAGTTTATCACCGTGTCATAATATTAGAAAAATTATTAACATAAATGTCGTTACTTCTGCGATAAAGAGCTGTTAAGTTTTTGTTATCAGCCAAATGATGTCCTGAACGAGTAGTACGCAATTCAAAAGAGCTTAGTACTAAGCCTATTTGAAGAAATGATTTTCATTTTATTATTATGCACTACTTTATTTCATGGAAATAAAAAAATCTTATTAGAAAGCGATTTTGGAATTTGCATTTCAATAAAATCACTTGGGATAAATTGTTGTAAGTTAGATGAATTTTGAAAACCAATAGTGGAGTGCTCATACCGCTATTGTAGATATAGTGGACATTGATTTCATATTTTTTTACTAGGAATCAAAATTTTATCAGACTTGAATCTCACAATATTTTTAAGAATAACTCCCGAATTGCGAATAAAAGAAAGATGATAAATTGTTTATCGAAGCATGTGAAGCCAAACCAAAGTTTAAGGTTATGTAAATTTTAATTTATTTGAAATTTGACTTTAGACATTGAACTTGACTTTTAACTTTCACATTTAGTTTTTGATGGGATTATATAGATCCCCATAAGACAAACGTAATTTCGTCTACTTAGGTGTGTAATTTATATTTAAAGGTCATTTTTGCCATTAATACAAAATTGCAAGTAACTTGCGCAAGCGCACAGTGAAAGCTCGTATTACATAACCGGACTTCCTCGATGTGTATTGACTTTTTAAAGTTTTGCTAAATTATTTGTTTGAGAATCTTAAATAACCTTGTTATTTATATACCTATATACATATTATGGTAACAGTAAGCTGATATGATAATGAAGAAGGAAGGTGGTCATAGGAACTTAGTGGTGAAATGACGCAACTGCATCGTGTTTGGGCTCCTTAGATCCGTCTTTGTGAGGACTTTGGTACTGGATGCTTTTTGGATCAAGGTCTGGTGATGATGGAGCCGAAAGGTGGTTATAGGAACTTAGAAATGAAATAAAGGAACTGCATCGTGTTTGGGCTCTTTAGATTCGTTTTTACGAGAAAAACAACATAGCTGGACTAGGTACTTTATATGATCTGTTCCAGTCATATTTTTGTTAAAAAAATCTAAGTTATTAACATATATTTTTTAATAAAACAAATTTCGATATAATAGATACCAAAATTCGTTAAGTCAGGGCTTTCCCTAACTAATCTCATAATCACGTTGTTTAGGTATGTTAAATACCTACATTACTAGTCCATGGCTATCTTCATGAAATAGGAAAATATAATAAGTACACAAGTTTAATCTTATCGATCTGAAATTTTTAGCAAACAATAGAAATCCGATATAGTATATTTATACAAATATAACTAGTGGAAGAAAATTCTAAGAATTTATAGAAACGTTTAAAATAAGTAATCTTTTATCTTTGATTTAATTGATAAGTGCGCAAGTCGGTGTTGTCATCACAATAGAACAATGGTACACAGTTTTAATATTCAATTCGTACACCCACTTTATTAAACTTCACATAAATTATGTACGATTCGCAACATTTTGGGTAAATCCGGTGAACTGAGTGAGCAACACCGCGACACTTAAGCCGACACGTGAAGGTTGAATAAATCAGACAACAATGTGGTGTATTGCTCAGATCATCGGAAGTCAATTAACTTACATTTTGGTAATATGAAATAATAAAGGTACTATTTATACCCGAGACAATCATCATCACCGGAATATGGAGAATGATCCATAACGCGGGCCCAATGCGGATTGCTGGGACGACTGCAGATGTAGCCGGGACCCACGGCTTAACGTGCCTCCCAAAGCAGATAGGAGCTCGGGATAAAAAAAATCTTGATCACCCATCCTATGACCGACCTTCGTGATAGTTGCTTAACTCCAGCATCGCAGACCGAGCACGCCAACCACTGCGTCATTGAGCTTCTGACGACGCAATACATTACGGAAATAGAACCCGGCTTAACTCAACTTCCATGCTGCTGTTGGTTCCGACTGCTTATGCAGTGATTAGAAGCCGTCAATCTGCATCCATACCTGAGTGGTGGTGGCGGAGCGGAGATAGTGGGGGGCGTGTGCACGAGTGGCAATTCAACTAAACGGCGGTCATACGTATAAAGATATTGAGTGCCAAAATCATCATAATATCATTTTCAAGTCCCTGAATGAAATCAATGAAAATATTGTAATATATAGAGTTGTAATAATCATAGTTCCGAGGCTGATATACCCACGAGACATAACACGAACCACCTTGATCGTTAACGAACCACATAAACATGTTTGCACAACTGTAATTATCTTCACGAATAACAAAACTCATGAGTCAGAACACGGCTGAATTGTTACTGCCTTTAAAGGTAGTTGGCTTCTTTAATAAAATATTTTTTTTTCAGACATCATTATTGCTAAGCTCATTAATGGTGGCATGAGTAACTATAAATATATAAATGATTAATTAAAGTTTATTTAAAAAGTACTTTTTGATTAACATGTCAATATCCATTGTTACACACAAACCTTTACTATCTTATTGTTAACATTCTCAATCACAAGCTTCGGCTACAAATTGAGTCACATATTTATTAATTCATCTTGGAATAAAAAAATATACGACAACAAAATTATGGACAACTTTTGTATTTTCATTATCGACAAAATTTTATACATTTTCATTTTATATATTTTCAGTAATAAATAAGCTTTTCGACATTGTTTAGTGACGCGTTATTGCCAGCGGGCCGTTTAAGTGCACCGCCAGCTCTGACGCGTCACTAAAGCTCTGATTGATATGTATGACCCAGGATACTGATATGTCAGCCTGACAAAGCTTTAAGGGCATCGTTTTGACAAAACAATCAGAGCTATAGTTGACGCGGTGGAACCGCTGGTATAGTGAACCAATCTTATGTACACAAGAGGCGACACTTCAAACAGAAGGACTGTATTTTAAAAGCAATGTTGTCTATAAACTTTTTATTTAATACCCTTTAAACGGCTACCTATCAATCGCCATAAACATATGCCTGTTGAGGAAATGATTTTATCTTTCTACAAACATGTTATACGATGATATTAATACATGCGTATCTAATCTTAAGGTAAATCGAATAAAATAACTATACTCTACAAGAATCTCTCTAAGCTACGATTGTGAAATAAAGAATACATATCTATTTCAACTAAACATTAAATGTTTATTGCATTACTTATATTATTTCAAATAATGAATCTTATCTATATACATCGGTATAATAGGTAGTAACAACAGAAAAAAAAACTTGCGATGAAATGTAAAAAAATGTCTTAAATAAATAAATTAAACGCATTAAATCGCCTAAAGTTTATTATTGGCGGTAATAAATAAAACATATTTAAGTGGAAATTTGAAAAATATGAATTTTGTATATTTATAAATATTATAAATAGTGCAGAGGTAATTGGAAGAAAACTATTGTAATTTTTAATTTTTTTTTAACTGGACGAGTCATGTATTTGTATTTATTCTTATTTTTTATTTCTTATTTTTCAGAAATCTTAAAAAATGGATCACGCCCACCACGATATTAACAGTGTGCCGGCAGCGCCGATGCACGGAGACCATGGAGACCACGGAGACTGCGACAGCCCGTGCGCCGACATGGGACACAGCCACGCGATGGTGGTCAGTACTGTACACATTCAACACTACATTGATTCGTGACAGATTCGTAGGAAACTCTAATTGAAGCATACTGCTTTTTTCAAGGGTCAAATATTGGTAAATTGTTATATAAAAATATTACTATGGAAAGTATAGAGAGAGAGAGAGAGAGAGAGAGAGAAAGGTCTATTCACTACTAAATAATGTTTTTATTAAATTGATATACTACAATAATGATTGGAAAAGTAACAGTTAGTAAGCAAGTTATCAGTAAGTACAGACCGCAAATGATATGCACATAGATAGTGCACGCCACAGGAAACAAAAAAATGTTACAAAATCATTTGGTACAAGGCTGTGGCTTTATTTATATGGTACGTTATTAATTTCCATATAATATTCACACGTATAAAGATAACCTATTCATACCATTTCGGTAGTTATATAAATACTATAACTATATACTATCCGATTCCCCTGAGTCTCGTTCAATACATATATACAAAATGGTTTATTGCAAATGTTCTGGTGTCCTGCACACGCTCACCTAAATTACTGCACGTCGTCGGTAGTCGCGTGTTAAATAAAGTACACGACACGTGACAAAACGTCACCTACATTGTAGCCATGCTCCCGTATATTACGGTTAGTGATACGTACCTACGTAGGTACACCCTGCTGAACGAAGAGGAGGATGATCTCCATATTATTTATTGTATTATTTCATAACTTTGTGATTTCTGACTAGACTCTAACGTTGGTTTTATAAAAAAATATCAGATTAGTATATTTATCTAAAGGTATACAGATATCGCTTAAAATGAAAAATAAAGAGAAATGTAGGTTTTTCTTAATGTTATTCAGTTGTTATTTCAATGATAGCATGCTTGTCTTAGGTCATGATCAGCTCAGGTATGCGGTCCCAAACATTCCTGATGTTATCTTGCTACTCTTGTGTTCCAGTTCCACGCTAACGTGTGCCAGGAGATCCTATTTAACGGCTGGCTGACCACTACAGCGCTGCAACTGTTCGGCTCTTGCGTAGCTATTTTTGTCGCTGGAGTCCTTTATGAAGCACTCAAGTACTACAGGTAGGTCGTAGTGAGTTACATAACAACATTTTAAACTATTCGGCGTAAACTGGTAGGAGTTAACAGGGTTAGATCCAGCCGTCAGGTCAGAAGGTGACGATCACAGTCACACGGTCGAGTTTCTGCCAAAATAATGCATTTTATGAATTTGATTCATTAGCATTACAAAAAGTACCAAGGTATTTAGAAAAAAGTAATATTTACTATTAAGAATACTGGCAATTCTAAATTAAATAATAACCATTTAATTATAACGTCAACTAATTGTATAGTAGAATGCTTGTTACCAGAGATATTTTGATAGTAAGTCAGTATCCGAGGCAATGAGTGGCACGAAAACAGGTGATTCAATTCATAGATTCTTTGTGCTGCTCACTCTTGGTGTTGTTGCGTTTCACTTGTTATTTTCATGTTATGTTGTGTGAACTCACTATGTATATGTGTGTATTGCAGAGAGGCTCTACACGTGAGAGCCACCAGTGCGACGGGTGACTCCACGGTCAACATCGCCAAGAACGAGTGCGGCTCCAACGGGAACTGCACCGGACCTTCCGTTGTCAAGTAATTACCATCTCTTTATTTCTTTTCCTTAATCGAGTTTTATACTATTTTTAGAATCGACAGAGTCTAAACTAGTGTTACACACATTCAATTTTATCTTTATGCTGGCATCTCGCTACCTACGTCTAGTTTCACGGCGTTTCTGAAAACTATAGAGTCGTCTACATTTTCCCAACTCTAGAAAACCAATCGGGTCAGCGAAATCAAGTAGTCATCAACCTTACTTTAGGATGTCGTCTCCGGGGTGAATATGCGAGCAATATTGACGCTGTTCTAACATTCGAAACTTTCTGGAACTCTTTAGCAAATAAGCTAAATTAGCAAGGAATCAGGTGGTAATATTGAGAATATATTGTGCAGATACAGCATGTGGTCGGGCGGGCACGTGGTGCAGACGGCGATGCACGTGGTGCAGGCGACGGCGTCGTACGTGCTGATGCTGGTGTTCATGACGTACAACGTGTGGCTGTGCCTGGCGCTGGTGCTGGGGCTCGGCCTCGGCTACTTCATCTTCGGCTGGCGCAAGAACACCGTCATCGACGCCAACGAGCACTGCCAGTGAACCGGACCGCCCCCCACTTGTATCGTTTTGTCTTAACATTGAAATAAAATTATCTTTTGTATGTGCTTTCACGTCGGTGTTCAATTTTATTTCTCGCGTCCGTTCTTCTTCTCGACTACGTTCAAAACGTGACCTAGTTCGACGGTTTTTTTTTTATTTTTAATATGGTACCTCCCGAAATTGTATTGCAAGTGAATGGTGAGGCGTATTTAGACATTTTTTAATTGATATTGAAATATGAGATATTCTTTTTTATCTTAATATCGTGAAGTTGAGGATGCAATAACCATATAAATTTTGTTTACCATCTTTTATTGACATTTTCAAGTTTTATTTCCTGGATAAATTAGCAAATTGACTGTTGTATCGATACTGAAGTTCTTCGTAGTCGCTTTGACTATTAGGTACATACTATTGTAAATCCTAAATGGCGAATCGATTAGTAAATGCATGGACAGAAAATTCATACCATATCGCCGCAGTGAACGAAAACAGAATAAGTTGAATTAGATTCACTTAAACATTTTATTGCCTCTATAATGTGTGTGTATTCACTTTACCTTTAAGTGATATTTACAAAACAAATTCATCTCATCACCCACGAATGATGACAAATATAATTAGAAATTAATGCTCAATTAAACAATCGTGATAGCGCTCATGTCAAACTATTGACAAATTAGATAATTATGTACATATGTAATAAAGAAATATAATGTTTAATATTAAATTATTATTGAATTTATTGTTATAACTTTATAGAAAGTCTGTTTTCACAATATTAACCATTAATTTGAGAACCCCTCTGAAGGTATACATGACCTAAAAGGTAACCTACCTATGCGTGGTTCTGTGAAATATTAATTTCATTCATCGCGTTAATATTTAATGTATTGAATTTTTTATTGTACATACGTCACCTAAATGCTGATTTTTTGTATATGAAAATATGGAGGTACATATGTTTATTTTTCAATCAATTGCGTGACAACTCTAAGTTATATTATTTTCCACATACTTTATTATTACTTATAGTATAATGTAGATTTAAGTTGTAGACATGTAAATAGGCTTAATTTGTGATATTATGATGAAAAATACATTCCTATTACGAAAATAAGTCCATTTTTTATCACTTTCTAACCGTAAACCCGCATTTACCCCTATCATAATAATATAAGGAAATATATATTTTTACGAAAACATGAAGAGTCTGATATTTACAAATAAATACAGAAAATTACGAATGACTAATGAAACACAATTAATTTTACTCTACTAATATATTAATTATCAGTTTAAAAGTGCAAAATCTTAATGATTATACTCAATTCATTAAATTTTTTCGTTTTATATGGCAATAAGTCCTAGTTTTACCAAAGTGCTATCGGTATTATCAGTATCATTGAAAAAAATAAAATCAGAAATGAAAACCTGTTTAAGTAACGTTTGTTTGTAAATTTGCTTACGTCTTAAACCGTGCTGGATTGAGACGTGCTTAACTGTAAATTCTCAATTCAGAAACCAGGTGTAAGAAACCTTTTGATCTTTCTTTAAAAGAACAAGAAAACAGAACCCTAGGCGCAGCCTGCAATTGGACTATCGTGGAAAACCGGCTAGCTATATTTTGCGCATGATAAGAACTCCAAGTGAAGTTATAACGTTTGTACCTAGAGTTTAATATAAAAAGAGAAAAGTTAATAAGTTCTCTGTATAAAACAATAGCGAACAAGAATTCTAAAATAAGGAGAAGCAGCGGGATTTGATAAGATTTTTGCGAAGATGATCAAATTTAGTAGTGTTGAAATACGATATGTTTTTAGGATCTTATGAAGTCTTTGCTGTGAAGCAAGAAGGATACCGATGTACTGGATTTGAGCAGTCATTGTTCTCTTGTACAAAGAAAGACTCAGTACGGACTGCACCAACTATAGAACCAATTAGTTTAATGGGCTTTGCGGCTAAAGTGTGCTAAATATCTTTGAAAGAATGAGTATAAATCCGATAAAATTTTGTGGGTGTCTCAAGGTTGGATTCCGAAATGGAAGAGCTTGTATGGATTATTTTGCTCTGCTATATGGTAAGTTATAGACTAAAAAGTGTTTTATAGCTTTATAGACTCAGAGAAAGCGTTTGATAAAAAATATATTCCGCAGCAATATAGAAATGAACCCTGCTGCTGTGTGGAATGCAATCCACTTACGAGGACTGTCGTCCTGATATGACTTGGTCATTTAAATATTTAGTTATAGACTACGATTCCAATTGTGGTAACAATTTAGATTTTTTCTTATGAGAAAATGACTTAGAAACCGTCTCAGGTTCATAGTCATTCAGATTCATCTCAGTTTAAGATTCAAGTTTTGATTTTAAACTCCAGTTACTGTTGTCATTTTAAACTCAGACTGTAAAAAGAGGGGTGTTATAAGATTGACGTGTCTCTGTGTATGTCTGTCTGTCAGTCTATGGCATCATAGCTCCTGAACGGATGGAGCGATTTCAATATGTTTTTTTTTATTAAAGGTGACTTATGTGTGTTCTAAGATATGTTTGATGAAAATTAATTGAACCATTTAAAAGTTGTGGGGGCTTAAAGTGGCGAAGAATAACCGAATGTCTGCAAATATACTCGAGTGGAGTCTCAAACAAAAGCGCACTGAATGAGAATATTGATGACTTACTGAAGAGTATTCTTAACTTCGGTTGATGAGAACCATTATAAACATTAAGTAACAACAACATTTTTTTGCGTTCTTTGAAACGGCCAATTTGTACGAAATGCAATATTTACTCATAATTATTTAATTATTATTATAAGACACACTAACAATACAAAAATATGAAATAATAACAATATCATTCTGTAGGATAAATGCCATACGAGGTGGGTCTTTAATAATAATAAATAATTATTTAAAATGTAAAGAACGTAAAGATATAGTATCCCTCTCCATATTAAATTGTCATGTGTGGAACTTAAACAGTATGTTATTATGTGTATATAGACCATCTGATGGGGACAAAATTGATAAGAAAGTAGTGATATGTGGTGATTTTAATATAGATATTTTAATTAAATGTGCTAAATCATGTAGGTTTTTGAACTTGTTTAAATGTTTTAATTTATAGAAATAGAAAGCGTTTATTTGGTATAAAATATAAAGTTACAAAATATTACATAGCAAAAATAAAAAAAAATATATATATATAAGTTATACCAAACGGGCCTCTGCTCAGTATGAGCCGAAGCAACGTTTGCTACGGCACTGATTTTCAGCAGATGCCCCGAGACTTTAGGTTAACATTAATACTAATATATTAGTTACTCCATTAAAATTATTTTTATTTAATTAAAACTACAATTAAAATAACATTTCCGTATAACAAATTCACACGAATATATAGCATGGGGTTAGAATGGCATCAGGCTGTGGCACTTCAGAGAAAGCAATCACTACTCTGTAACATTTGACATACTCTTTTGTTGAACCAATAAATGACTCTTGTATTTTAACTTAAAATTATAACCCGACACGGAGTTCCTTATTGGTGGAGGGATATTATTCCAGCACTTACCCGAAATGCACTGGTCCTATATGCATTGTATTTCATGCGTGAAGCAATTCGTGTTTGACGTTCCGAGAACCTTAATTTTTCATACAAATAAGTGGGACACTTGTCTTTAATCACACCGAATAATAAACAAGCAAAGTGCAGTTTCCTACGGTTCTCCATGTTCAACATATCACTTCTGTTTAGATACGGAGTCACATGAGCGTAACGAGGAATGGGAAAACAGTATCTTGCACAAGCATTCTGTACTCTCTGTATGAGCTTTTTTGATCTAGCTAGAAGACATCCCCCAATGACTGTGTCTGCGTAATTTAATTTCGACAATATAAGCGTCTCACAGAGACGTATTCGTAGTTCTACGCTTAAATACTTCTGTATTTGGTAGAGGATCTTTAGCCTGTAGAAACACTGTCGGACCTCATATCACAATCAAACAGTACTCCCAAATTTCTAGCCTCAGTCACTTGATCAATTACATTGCCTCTAACTGTTAACACAGGTTTATAGGTATTAATGCAATTCGTTTGCGCCCGAGTGCCAGAAACGAGCAATTTTGTTTTCGCTGGGTTTAGCAACAGACCGTTCATCTCTGACCACTCAGCTATACGAGCCAGATCCTCATTAAATTCATTGGCCGCTAGAACCGTGTCAGTGGGTTGAAAAGATTTGTAAACCTGTAGGTCATCAGCGTACAGGTGATACTCACAATTAGCAATACATTTAGGTAAGTCGGCGGAGTATAAAATAAAAAGAATAGGCCCAAGAATAGATCCCTGAGGCACACCACAATTTAGTAAGTTTTTTTAATGAACCTCATTACACCCTCATCTGCTACTTGCTTAGATAATATTTTTTGTAAATGTAAGGTGTTTAAAAAGTCGATAATAAATTGTTATCGATCTGACCATAGCAGAGTTCTAGCAACAAGTCAAGTCAAGTCAAGTCAAAATAATCTTTATTCAAATAGACTTCTTAAAAGTACTTTTGAATCGTCCAACATTTTTTCCCTACCACTCGTTCAGGACGTCTTTTGGCTGATAAGAAGAACGAGCAAGAAACTCACCAGCTCTAATAAGAGTAATGACATTTACAAAAACCATGTCATTACCAGAACAAGACATTATAAACAGAGATAGAAAAAAAAAACTATGTTCTTATAATGATAACATAATCATTTAATAATAATGGAAACAAGATAATGAGTTTATAAGTAATCACCTATCCAGTTGCTGGATCATCTCAAGTCCAAGCGTTCTTATCTGTTATATAATCGGATACCTTATAATAAGCTTTTTTAATAAGTATTTTTTTAATAGTAGATTTAAACTGCATGATATCTAATTGTTGTATTTTGCTTGGGACCTTATTGTAGAAGCGCACACAAAGACCCTTGAATGAGTTATTAACTTTTTGCAGTCTAGTGACAGGCACCGTTAATTTATTTTTATTTCTTGTATTAAAATTGTGTTCATCACTTTTTATAGAAAACAAACTAATATTTTTACGAACGTACATTAAGTTCTCGTATATGTATTGAGAAGCAACAGTCATAATGTCTATTTCCTTAAATTTCTCCCTTAAAGAGTCCCTAATCCTAAGATTATAAATTGATCGAATTGCTCTTTTCTGAAGCACAAAAATTGTTTGTAAGTCGGCAGCATTTCCCCACAATAGGATTCCGTACGACATCACACTATGAAAGTAACTGAAGTATACTAATCTTACAGTGTCTATGTCAGTTAACCTACGTATCTTCATTACGGCATATGCTACAGAGCTAAGTCTACTCGACAATCTATCAATATGTGGGCCCCACTGTAGTTTAGAATCTAATGTTATTCCTAAAAATACTGTGGTATCCACAAGGCCCATGTTCTTATCTTTTATAATAACATTTATATCTACTTTTTTAACATTAGGTAGTACAAATTTTAAGCATTTTTTTTTTCCTTCATTAAGTAGAAGATTATTTACATTAAACCAATGTACTACTTTAGCGATAGAATTATTCACATCGTCATTTAGAGGTAACCCTCTTTTAATTTTAAACAATAGTGAAGTGTCATCCGCAAACAAAACTATTACGTGATCATCCCTTACGAAAAAAGGCAAGTCATTTATGTAAATCAAAAACAAGAAAGGACCAAGTATTGAGCCCTGCGGAACGCCCATCTTAATTTTCGATCCAGAGGATCTTTTACCATTGATATCAACCCTCTGTACTCGGTCAGTCAAGTATGAGACAATAAAATCCAATGAGTTATCTCTAAATCCATAAAAATGCAGTTTCCTAATCAATGTTTCATGAAAAACACAATCAAATGCCTTAGATAGGTCACAGAAAACACCTAACGCATCATGTGAATCCTCCCAGGCATTAAAAATTACTCGACACCGGCTTCGGTTGTCGAGCGACCCCTTGTAAAACCAAATTGTTGTCGATTCATAAGCTTATTCTTGTAAAAGTACGTTTGTATTTGATCCAGCATGATTTTTTCAAAAATCTTACTAAACGTAGGTAGCACGGATATAGGTCTAA